CTCCCGCTGCGCTGCCTCCTGCTGCCTGCCGCGAGGGCTCCGCTCCGGTCGGCGGGGAGGAAAGGAAGAGGACTGCCCTGCAGGGCGCTCTGGTTCTCTGCGCCGCCGCCCCCTACAGGGCGGCCGGAGCAGGAAAAAAAAAAGCGGCTGTGCCACCCTAGGATTGGGCAGAATGCCGCCTCAAACAATCTGCCGCCCCAAGCACCAGCTTGATCAGCTGGTGCCTGGAGCCGGCCCTGACTGTAAGTGATTCTAAAGGACAGCAAACAGATCAAAGCAGATTACCTAGCAAATAAAGCCAACACGCAATCTAAGCTTAATATACTATAGAAACTGGGTATAAGCAGCACATTCTCACCCTAAATGTTGTTTTAGGCAGATTTGCAGAGACTTGCTTGCAGATTAAAACTCCAGATATTCCTTTCACAGGCCAGACACCCTCTGGCCTGGGCTCAGTCCCCCCTCTCCCCCGTCTCTTTATTTCTCAGGTGTTTCCAGCAGCCTTCTTCCTTGGGTGGGGAGTTGGGTGAAGAAGGAACCAAGATGATGTCACTCCCCTACCTGAAATAGCTTTTGTACATGGTGGGAACCCTTTGTTCCCATGCCAGACAGTGGAAAAACACTGGTGTTCCAAGATGGATTCCAGTACCAGGTGACTTGGTCACATGTCTCTGTAGCGCCATAGCAGCCATGAGTCAGAGGCTGGTTGTTCCTCAGGAAGGCGCCCCAGTGGGAGATTAGCATCTTCTAAGACCTACTGTTCTCCCTAATGGCTCTTCCTCACAGCCAGCCATCTAGACTGATTGCATTCTGTCTGGTGGGCATTCCCCAGGTGTAAACACACTTGTAATAGATGCCCAGACAACATTCCTAACTTCAGATACAGACATGATACATGCACACAAATAGGATAATCGCATTCAGTAAATCACAACCTTTCCAATGATCTCTCACAGGACTTATTTTGTATAAAATACATCAGAGTTATGCCATAATCCTATCATAACAATCTCTCTGTGAAGCATATGGGGGCGTAATGCCACAGCAGGCTCTGGGAGGGTTGTACTCTGTAGATGGCACATACAGTGCTGCGTGAAGGCTGAGAATTTGTCACTAGACCTCAGCTGACCAGCCCCTTTGCTCCCCTGTGTCCAGCTCCTCTGATGTCTGGACGCAGAAACACTGGGCTGCTGAGGGGGAGCTGCTGGGGGTGGGACCTTGTTGATACACCCTGGGAGCTTCGCAATGAAACCCACAAAAGGCCAAACACCTGGCGCCTGGTTCTCACCTTGAATTCCCCGACCACCAAGGGGTCTTCGCTGGCCTCCTCCCGCACCCGCCCACGGTACAGCCTGAAGGTCTGGCAGAAATCTTGCAGGCCCTGGAACTCCGGCACAGCCTCCAACTCACAGTTATAGACCTGCCAAGGAACCACAAGCTCAGGCTTTGGACACTAACATCTCGGTCGTGCGGAGTCTGGGCCGTGGGGTCAGCGAGGGCTGGTACTGAGCCAGGGAGGAAAAGGACGTGCCCGCAGGGTGGATCCCCCAGAGGCAGATTTCTACAGCAGCAGGAGCCTGGACTGTCCTCCACTGGCACCATTGTGATTGACCAGGCTAGCAGGGGGTGCCCAACTACCCTCAGTTGGATCCAATCAGAACTGGCCAGCTGTGACTACTTCATACGCCCCATCCCGCCGACGAGAGATCCATGGTTAGCTGTGCTTGTAGGGCAGGGGCTCTGCGTTCTCTCCATGAGGCTGCTGAGAAGCCCGGAGAGCAGCACAGTCATGGAATCATAGACTATCAGGGCTGGAAGGGCCCCAGGAGGTCATCTAGTCCAACCCCCTGCTCAAAGCAGGACCAACACCAGCTAAATCATCCCAGCCAGGGCGTTGTCAAGCCGGGCCTTAAAAACCCCTAAGGAAGGAGATTCCACCACCTCCCTAGGGAACCCTGCATGCTCGGGGTTCTACTGATCGCCATATTTGGGGTCGGGAAGGAATTTTCCTCCAGGGTAGATTGGCAGAGGCCCTGGAGGTTTTTCGCCTTCCTCCGCAGCATGGGGCAGGGGTCGCTAGCTGGAGGATTCTCTGCGACTTGAAGTCCTTAAATCACAGGATTTGGGGACTTCAACAGCTGAGTCAAGGGAAAGGGGGTGGGTCAGCTTTTGTGGCCTGCATCATGCGGGAGGTCAGACTAGATGATCATACTGGTCCCTTCTGACCTTAAAGTCTATGAGTCTATAACCCATTCCAGTGCTTCACCACCCTCCTAGTGAAAAAGTGTTTCCCAATATCCAACCTAAACCTCCCCCACTGCAACTTGAGACCATTACTCCTTGTTCAGTCACGAGGACACATATTTGTTACAATATTTTACAGTCTTACAGAGCCCAACCTACCGGTCTGGGAATTACTGGTCCCTAAACCACTTCACCCATCACAGAAATGCAGCCACTTCTGGGCTGGAGCGTGGCAGCTGTATAAAGGCAATGTACAGTTCTGGACAGGGAATGAGGAAGGACATGGCATCCTGTTTGTGTGCCAAGGCCTACCTGGCTAAGAGCAACACAGCCTCTCCACTGTGACTACTGTGGAGTCTAGCTAATGAGGGAAAGCCCTTGTGGCCAGCCAGGAAAAGCCCAGCTCTGATTCCCCACAGAGCTCCCGGGACAAGGGGAGAAATAGCCTCCTTGTCCATCTGTCTGAGGGCCAGACCGGGGCCAGCCTGGCTGGCTGCGTGGAACTCTCTGGCCTGCAGAAGGCAGATTCCACCTGGGTCAGGACAGTCGTCATCCCCAGAACAGAGGGGAGACCCCTCTCTGCAACCCCCGGTCCAGGTTCTACCACGTGCGACCGCCAGCCAGGCGCACACCTTTAGGCTGTCCAGCCCTGTCTGCAGGTAGCCGCCGCTCTTTGCCAGATCCCCCGTGGCAGCATAGAACTTGCTCCACCAGTCGACACACTCCTCCTCCTCCTGGGGAAGAACGGAAGGAAGAGCAGCGTGAGCCTTGCTAACCAGTGGGAAATGCAGGCGTCTCTGTCGCACTGCTGCTGAGAGCTGCTATCCCACTGGGCAGGGGGGGCTGCTGCTCCAAGTTCCTCCCTGACCCCTCTGTGAAACCCACCTTCTCTGCTCTCAGTGTGGTTCGAAGCCACGACTCGACAGCCATCCTGCCCAGCATCTGCGGAGATGAGGGGAGACAAATGTGTCACGCCCAAGGAGTTTAATACACCTTATGACACTGCCCCCCATATTCCTCACAGTGATGTTATTATGATATGATTATGGCATAATTATGACGCATTTTATACAAGATGGGTCACGTGAGGTGTCACTGGAAAAGTTACAATTTCCTGAATATGATTATCCTATTTGTATGCATGGATCATTTTTGTATCTGAAGGTATGAATATTGACTGTGCATCTGTATTTCAAATGTGCTGACTCTGGGTGAGACCCACAATTAGCCTTTCAGGTACAACAATGAAAAAGCCAGACCGTGCTGATGGCCCATCAGCAAAGACAATGGGCCCTGGAAGAACGTAACCTTCCTGGAAATGTTCCAGACAGCCTGTAAGCAATGGCTGCTGTGATTCAGCAAAGTATGCAAGGGCATGTGACCAGACCACATGACTCTGGGCTCCATTTTGGGATGCCTGTATTTTTCCACACACTGGTCTGGGAACCAAGTTTAAAACATATATAAGGCAGGGAGTGGCATCACCTGTTCTTCTTCACTCCCCACACAAGAGGACCCCCTGAAAACACCTGAGGAACAAATGCTGAACTGGGGGAAGTACTGGAGCCAGGCACAAAATGGGCAATGGCTGCCTAGGAAGGAGTACTGCGGAAAGGGATCTGGGAGTCATAGTGGATCACAAGCTAAATATGAATCAAAAGTGCCACCCTGGTGCCAAAAAAAGCAAACATCATTCTGGGCTGTATTAGCAGGAGTGTTGTAAGCAAGACATGAGAAGTAATTCTTCTGCTCCACTCCGCGCTGATTAGGCCTCAACTGGAGTAATGTGTCCAGTTCTGGGCGCCACATTTCAGGAAAGATGTGGACAAATTGGAGAGAGTCAACAAAAATGATTAAAGGTCTAGACAACACGACCTACAAGGGAAGAATGAAAAAAATTGGGTTTGTTTAGTCTGAAGAAGAGAAGACTGAGAAGGGACCTGATAACAGTTTTCAGTTACATAAAAGGTTGTTGCAAGGAGGAGGGAGAAAAATTGTTCTCTTTTACCTCTGAGGACAGGACAAGAAGCAATGGGCTTAAATTGCAGCAAGGGCGGTTTAGGTTGGACATTAGGAAAAACTTCTGAACTGTCAGGGTGGTTAAGCACTGGAATAAATTACCCAAGGAGGTTGTGAAATCTCCATCATTGGAGATTTTTAAGAGCAGGTTAGACAAACACCTGTCAGGGATGGTCTAGATCAGTGGTCTCCAAATTTTTTGATCGCGCACCCCATCAGTAAAAAAATTTTGAGCATGCACCCCCTGCCGCGCTAAAGCAAAAAAAAAAAAAAATGGACTCCCACCTGAACTGCCAAAGCAAAAAAAAGAAAAAAGAAAAAAGCCACTCGGACTCCCCCACTTTGGAGACCACTGGTCTAGATACTTAGTCCTGACTTGAGTGCAGGGGACTGGACTAGAAGACCACTCCAGGTCCCTTCCAGTCCTAGGATTCTATCTTCTTCTATCTTCTAAAGGGATTTTTAGCCCATGTATGAAAACCTGGGGAACCCAAGATGCAAAGCAAATACAGCTTGTGCCTTAAGAATCTGCAAGCCTGCTTGTACCATCACTTAGGGTGAGAAACTGCTAACTCATATCCAATCTATCTAGTATGTTAAGCTCAGTTTGTGTTTTTGTTTTATTTCTTATGGTAATCTACTTTGATCTGTTTGTGATCACTTATAATGACTTAAAATCTATCTTTTAGTGGCTAATAAACTTGTTTTATGTTTTAATCAAAGCCAGTGTGCCTTGGGGGAAATCTCAGCTTGGTTAACACAAGTGTGCGTTGTTCTCTTCACATTGAGGGAGAGGCGGACTGGGTATTAAGCCCATATACTGGCCAAAACGTGAGCAGGGCAGGACGGTTCAGCTCTGGGGTCCTAGGCTGGGGAGCTGTGGGAGAGGGGGGTTGGGCTGCAGTCTCTCTACTGTCGGTTCATGCAGTGGCTGGCCAGAGCCTGCATGTAACTGCAGCTGGGTGTGTCCCTGCCTGTGTGAATGCTGGTGGGAGTGTAGGATCAGGAGCAATCTGCAGCTTGTCACTGCAGCACAGTGCGAGAGGGAGATCAGGCTGGACAGACAGAGGGCTTAGTGGCATCCCAGTTCCCGGTTGCACCCGGGGGGACCTGTCATACACCTGATCAGCTCCTGCCCGGCCCACCACATGCTGCCCCTCTGCTGGGCTCCTGATGGCTCAGGACGTGACCCCCAGAGTTCCATGGAGGGCTTCGGAGACATTCTAGGACAGTGGTTCCCAAACTGGGGTTGGGTTCACGAAGTGTTACAGGGGGTACTTGGGAAAAAATTCCCTAATGGCGGACAGAGCTGTCCATAGGGACCCCGGGCCGCACGGGGCAAGCAGCCCGGAGCCTCTGGATTTCCAAGAGCTAAGTAGATCAAAGCAAGCCTATCTATCACACTGAGGAGATTTAAACTTCAAAACTCCTTATAAGAAATGGAAAGGGAGGTGGATATTTTTTGCTGTTTTTAAAATAAATAAGCAGCTAGTATTGTTTTTAAAATTATTATGAAGAACTAGTTTGAGCTTTGTTGTAATGTGCGTTGTTTGTCTGGACTGCTCAAGACCTGAATGCTTGTGTAGGAGGAACTCTTTGAGTTGGCTTCTTAAATACCTTCATGCTCTTTCACATCTAATACTCCTTGATGAAACATAGGAGCCTTGTCTTATAACAGGCTTATTCAAAGTGATACAAGCTACGAAAATGAGATCTTGGAAGAGTGTTGCCGTTTTCATAATGTAATACAAATATTGTAATGATAAATAACAATTAATAATAAATAGTGTGTAATAAGCATGTCATAAAAACACATTTTATATTTCCAAGATCACTTCTTTTTATAATTTATACTCAGGTAAAGGAGAAAATCCCTGGAAATATTCATTTTTGGGAGGGGGTTCGTGAGACTTGACATTTTAGTGAAAGGGGTTCACAGGTTGTTAAAGTTTGGGAACCACTGTTTTAGGAGCCATCTCACATCTCTCTGGTAAGTGGAGGACTGGCCAGGCCAGCTGGAAGGTCTGCAGGGCCCTTGTGGGGAGTGGTAACCCAAGGGAGGCATGTGGGTATAGGGTACCTTTTCCTGCAGCTGGCGTTCTGCTCGTTAGCTTTGGCAGGGCGCTACCAGCCTCCGTGTTAATGATCCAGGCTGAGCAATGCACATATGAAGGCCTGGCGTTATTGTAGAGGAGAGCTCTGTAGATAGTCACTGCTGCAGGGGCCCACATGGCTCAGGGAGCCAGCATGGATGAGCAGGAGTGTCCTGGTGCTGGAGGAGGGACATCTGAGCAGCTGCTCTGGCTAGAGGCTGAGTGGAGACCATCCCCTTCCAGCTGTCAGCTGAAGTCCAGGTGAAATTTGCTGATTTGATCAGCTAAATACCCGACCTGGATCCCAGCCTCCCTCCCCTCTAGCATCCATGAATTGGATTTTTATTGGTAAATGTCAGTAAATGCCCATTCCACTGTACACATGCAAACTGACGAAAAAATGTTTCCAGGGATAGCAATTGAAATGTGCAGCTAGACAAAGTAAGGGAAACGCTGCTTGGGGCCATGTTGAGTTTGATTTCAGGAGCTTGACGTGGTGTATTTTGACTGGAGATGTTGACAATTTGTGTTTTATTGGCTCTAAAGCTTTAATTTTTGGAATTTCACAATTCAATTACAATCGATTCTGCCAAGCCTATACCCAGACAACCCCTTTCTTCTGTCCAAGCAGCTCACAGTGCTTGACGAGCATTAATTCGTGACGCCTCACGAACCTCCCCCTCCCGTGAGGTAGGTCAGTAGTATCGTAGTTTTACAGGTGGGGAAACTGAGGCACAGAGCGTGGACGGCACTGGTCCAAAGTTGGACAGCAAGTCTGTGGCAGACCTGGGTATACACCCCAGATCGCCTGACTTCTGTCCCCCTGCCCTAACCCCTAGATGATACTGTCTCATAGGGCCCTTTAGGGGGAGACCCTCAGACCAGTTAAGAGCCGGCTATGCGAGCACAAAGCCAATGCACCTTGGAGTGAGGTGCAGATGTGACCTCATGGGATGCAGCATTGAACTGCACTGAGAGGACCCCTAAGGGTTAAAGCAGGGCAGAGGCCCGGGTCACCCCGCGCTGTATCTGCACTGAGGTCAGTGGTGCCCATGGCACCAGGTGCCACCCCCTGTGGGAGCAGGACGTGAGTGCTGCAGAGAGAGGGGGCCCAGCATGCAGGTGGCTCTGGGCTACTGGAGAGTAGCACTCACCTTCGCGATCTTCCCCTTGGGAGCTACTGTGCAGGGCAGGGAAGGGAGGGGGAGAAAAAAGACATGGAATTAATGACAATATTGAAATATCCCCAGGTCCTCCCAGCTCGGAAAGCAGGAATGGCTGGGGGAGGCTCTCTGGCCTGGCCAGGCTGAACCGGACCGGCTGCCTGATCACACTGGACCCATCTGGCCTGAACGTCTAGGAATCAGCCACTGGTGACTGCGTAACCTTGCCACCACCTGAGGGCAGGAGTCAAAGTGGACTCCCGCAAGGGCTCAGTGTGGTTATTCAGAACCCAGGTCCTAGGCAGCATTTCTTTACATTGCAAAAGTAACCTAGCATTTAGCAACTGACAGGCCCGGCTCATGGGAAGGCACGGTTGGTTTCTCACAGGCAGGCTGTTCAAGGCGAGGACTGATTGGCATCGGCACCGCTGTGTGTGGGGAGCTCAGGGCTGGGCTAGCCGGGGGCTGGGGCTTGGAAGTGAGGGCCACTGGCAGAGCTGTGGGGTGGTGGGTGGGCCCCCCACGACTGGAATAGCAGGGGACTGCGGATCCCAGCTATATCCTCACTAGGAATACATCTTTCTTTAGTTTTAATGTTGGGGGATGTGCAGTCCTCGCACCCCAGGGTGAAAAGATTCCATGGGGCAATGGGGGCGGGGGGAAGGGGTCTGCAGCATTTCTGTTAGAGCACATGGGCACCATGCTGGAGCCCGGCCCGGCAGAGCCAATGGTGCCAGACGGCTGGCTCCAGTGAAACGTGGGGTTTGGCCCAATAGTTCCACAGGAGAGGGTCTGGCAGGTCCCTGCCAGCAATGGGAGAAAGACAGTGTTCCCCAGAGGTCCTGGGAGCTGGGCTGGTGAATGGGGGATGGTGAGTGGGATTCATTGGTTGGCCTGTACCTGGGGGTGGCAGGCTGGGATGGTGCCCCTCTGCGGACGGCTCGCACATGTACTGGCGCAGGGATCTCACGCTGGCCTGGCCCACCACTGGCTTGTACCCAAACTCCCGGTTGTCCACGACCTTCAGCTCAATGGGGGGCATTAAATCTTCTTCCATGGGCAGGTGCTGCGGGGTGGCAAGCAGGTCCATGAGCTCCATGGGGAAGCAACAGAAGGAGCAGGCAACCGGGCCAGCACCTAGACACTCAGCCATGGAGCACTGTATGGACAGACAGACAACGCCGGCCACAGGGCTAGAGGTGATGTGGGTCGGTGGGATCAAGTGGTCCCTGGAACTCTCCAACCATCTCTGACTCCCAACCCAGCCATGTAGGCAGGCAGGAAAGGAAGTGGCTGAGAAGCAGTGGGTGGAGCCGCCCTGCCCCATGCTTCTGCCTTGCTCACCACTCTCATGAGGAAGACATTGATTGGGAAGTTGGGGTTCTCGTGGAGGTCTCTGATGGGAGCCGTCTGGATGGCCTCTCCTCCACACTCCACCACCAGGCTTGGTGCCATGACGCTCAGCAGGTTGTAGCTCTGCAGGCCCCGCAGGCCCCAGGCCAGGATCTGGAGGGGAGGAAGAGGTGAATGGTGTGGTTGTACCATGGATGGACGTCACGAAGGAGGAGTGGGCTGGGCCCAGCTGGGCCAAGTTTGCGCTCATGGATTCAGCACCAGTCCCACTGGCAAAGATGCCAGGGGTGAAGCTGCTGATGTGGCTCTGTTTCAGAATCAGAACAGAGCTTAGAAGCCAGCCAGGCCGGAAAAACTCACCTGGCCACCCCCTGAGTGTATTGGACGCCCAGCAGGGAGATGAATGGGCTGGACTGCTCTGGGGCACAGAGGGCAATGGAGGGGCTGGTGACAGTGGCTCCCCAGCACAAACTCCCACCAATGTCCTGCCTGGCCAGCCAAGGTGGTGGGTGGGAAGAGGGAGACGCGGCAGCCTGTGTTTGTGCCAGGCGGAAGGATGGTTCTGGGTGACAGGAGAGTTACAGTCAGGAATGAGGGGCTGGGGTTAACCAAAGAGAGAAGCAGGGTGGAGGGAAGTGACACGGTGACTAGACTGGAGGGGCAACCTCGCCCCGGCCCCCAGGCGATGAGCAGGGCGGGACTTCCTGGGCGTCTCCATCCCCATGCCGATGAGGAGCAGCAGCCTGTCCCCTCAGGAGGGGAAGCACCTGCAGGTCATTGGGGGCTATCGACCTCTGCCCAACCTGCTGGTCTGATCTTCGTAGCTCTGCCTGCAGCAGTTCCCATGCAGGGGGCCTCCCAGCTCCATCCCCGCTGTCCCCCAGTCCCTGCTGGCAAGGCCCTCCTGTGGGGTAGATAGTGGCTGACGCCAATGGCATGGCAGGATCTGTGGCAGTAACAGGCATCGCCTCTGGCAACGCAACGTGCCCTCCGCAGCAGATGCTTGTTTCCTCCTCCCACCAAACAAGCTGCTTCTGCCCTGGAGTCTGCGTGAGCAGAGGGGCCCTGGCTGTCACCCTCACCTCAATGGCCATCAGTCTCAGCGTGGGCCGGATGTCGCTAGGGATGACGTAGACCCCGTTCTTCCAGGAGGGGGTGGGAAGGCGGCCTGGTGCACCATCCTGGGAGGGGAAGGACAAGGCTGTTGTGTGATGCTCTGGCTTGGCTGCACTTTGTACAAAACGGACAGAGGACTTTCGTGCCGGGGAAGGACCAGGACTGGCAGCCAAGGGCAATTCCTCTGGCTTCCACATCGTGCCCCGTGCTAAAGTGACCCCTCCAGCCCTCAGGGACCCTGCTACATGGGCCAGGGGGCTCAGTCGCTGTTGCTCACCATTCCTGGGAATGCCAGCAAAGAGGCTGAGGTAGAGCTTAACTTTTGTGTTGGAGACACCTGTTCGGTTGGAACTCTCCTGAGATTCTCCATCAGGATGAGTGATGTGATGTCTGCCAGTCCCGGGGCAACTCGTCCGTCCCCCTCACTGGGGCAGGACCCAGTAAACCTAGACCAGTGTTTGCCCACCTGGTCTTCAAAACCTCCAGTGACGTGGATTCTACAACCTCCCTTGGAAGCCTGTTCCAGAGCTCAACTCCCCTCAGAGTTAGAAAGTTTTTCCTAATATCGAACCTAAATCTCGCTTGCTGCAAACTAAGCCAATTCCTTCTTGTCCTACCCTTGGTGGCCGTGTAAAACAGCTGTATACAGTGTTGTTGCAGCTGTGTCGGTCCCAGGATATTAGAGAGACAAGGTGGGTGAGGTCATATCTTGTATTGTACCCATTCCTGTTGATGAGAGAGAAGCTTTCAAGCCCAGAGCTTCAGCACTGGGAAAGGTTCTCTGAGTGTCACAGCCAAAGACAAGATTGAACAGATAGTTTAGCATAAATAGCACATATTATAAGGGACCCCTGTAGTCACAGGACAAAAAGGGGGTAAGTGGGTTACAGATTGTAGAGTTAGAAGGGACAGATTGTCATAGAATTGTAGGGTTAGAAGGGACCTCAAGGGTCATCTAGTGTAACCCCCAATAAACCATTAATCCAGCATTTTATTAAGTCTTAATAAAGACACTGGATTTATTGTTTATTACAACAATCTGTAACCCACTGATCCCCCTATTTGTCCTGTGACTTCAGGGGTGTTAACAGGCCACTTCACCTTGAATGGTCCATTCGAACGTGTGCTAACTACTTACGCTGAACTATCCGTTCAAACCTGTGTTTAGCTGGGACACTCGGGGTGCCTTTTCCACACCCGAGGATGAGCTCTGTGCGGCTCACCAGCTTGGCTCTCTCGCCAACAGAAGTTGGTCCAATAAAAGTTATTACTTCCCCCACCTTGTGTCTCTAATGGAAGACAGTTAATCACCATCTTCCTTATAACAACTTTTTACATGTGCCACACTTAAGGAAAGATGTGGACAAATTGGAAGCATCCGGAGGAGAGCAACAAAAATGATACAAGATTTAGAAAACCTTATCTAGGAGGAAAGGTTAAAGAAAATGGGCACATTTAGCATTGAGAAAAGCAGACTGAGGGGGGACCTGATAACAGTCTTCAAATATGTTAAGGGCTGTTAGAAAGATCCATGGATTCCAAGGCCAGAAGGGACCATTGTGATCATCTAGTCTGAACTCCTGTTTCGCACAGGCCAGAGGCCTGCGCCACAGTCATTCCTAGAGCAGATCTGTTAGAAAACATCCACTCTTGATTTTAAAATGGTCAGTGATGGAGAATCCACCACAACCCTTGGTAATTTGTTCCAATGGTTAATTACTCTCGCTGTTAAAAATGTACACCTTATTTCATAGAATCATAGAAGATTAGGGTTGGAAGAAACCTCAGGAGGTCATCTAGTCCAACCCCCTGCTCAAAGCAGGACCAACACCAACTAAATCATCCCAGCCAGGGCTTTGTCAAGCCGGGTCTTAAAAACCTCTAAGGATGGAGATTCCACCACCTCCCTAGGTAACCCATTCAAGTGCTTCACCATCCTCTTAGTGAAATATTTTTCCTAATATCCAACCTAGACCTCCCCCACTGCAACTTGAGACCATTTCTCCTTGTTCTGTCATCTGCCACCACTGAGAACAGCCGAGCTCCATCCTCTTTGGAACCCCCTTCAGGTAGTTGATGGCTGCTATCAAATCCCAACTCACTCTTCTTTTCTGTAGACTAAACAAGCCCAGTTCGCTCAGCTTCTCCTCATAAGTCATGTGCCCCAGCCCCCTAATCATTTATGTTGCCCTCCACTGGACTCCCTCCAATTTGTTCACATCCTTCTTGTAGTGGGGGGCCCAAAACTGGACACAATACTCCAGATGTGGCCTCACCAGTGCCGAATAGAGGGGAATAATCACTTCCCTTGATCTGCTGGCAATGCTCCTACTAATGCAGCCCAATGTGCCATTAGCCTTCTTGGCAACGAGGGCACACTGCTGACTCATATTCAGATTGTTGTCCACTGTAATCCCCCAGGTCCTTTTCTGCAGAACTGCCGCTTAGCCAGTCAGTCCCCAGCCTGTAGCAGTGCATGGGATTCTTCCTTCATAAGTACAGGACTCTGCACTTGTCCTTGTTGAACCTCATCAGATTTCTTTTGGCCCAATCTTCCAATTTGTCTAGGTCACTCTGGATCCTATCCCTACCCTCCAGTGTATTTACCTTTCCCCCTAGCTTAGTGTCATCTGTGAACTTGCTGAGGGTGCAGTCCACGCCATCCTCCAGATCATTAATGAAGTTGTTGAACAAAACTGGCCCCAGGACCAACCCCTGGGGCACCCCACTTGATACTGGCTGCCAACTAGACATTGAGCCATTGATCACTACCTGTTGAGCCCGACAATCTAGCCATCTTTCTATCCACCTTCCAGTCCATTCATCCAATCCATACTTCTTTAACTTGCCGGCAAGAATACCATGGGAGACCATATCAAAAGTCAAGGTATATCATGTCCACTGCTTTCCCCATATCCACAGAGCCAGTTATCTCATCATAGAAGGCAATCAGGTTGGTCAGGCATGACTTGCCGTTGGTGAATCCATGATCAATCCTCTCCTCCAAGTGCTTAAAAATGGATTCCTTCAGCACCTGCTCCATGATTTTTCCAGGGACTGAGGTGAGTCTGTAGTTCCCCAGATTCTCCTTCTTCCCTTTTTTAAAGATGGGCACTATATTTGCCTTTTTCCAATCGTCCGGGACCTCCCCTGATTGCCACTAATTTTCAAAGATAATGGCCAATGGCTCTGCAATCACATCCGCCAACTCCCTGAGCATCCTCAGATGCATTAGATCCGGCCCCATGGACTTGGGCATGTCCAGCTTTTCTAAATAGTTCTTAACCTGTTCTTTCAACAAGGCCGGCTCCAGGCACCAGCTTAACAAGCAGGTGCTTGGGGCAGCCAAGGAAGAGGGGCGGCACCTGCGGCAATTCGGGGGTGGCAGGTCCCTCACTCCCTCTAGGAGCGAAGGACCTGCCACTGGACTGCCGCCGCCGATCACAGCTTTTTTTTTTTTTCCAATTGCCGCCGCTGATCGTGATCACGTCTTTTTTGGTTTTTTTTCCAATTGCCGCCGTCGATCGCGGCATTTTTTTTTGCTTGGGGCGGCAGAAATGCTGGAGGTGGCCCTGTCTTTTACCATTGAGGACAGCTCACTTCCTCCCCATACTGGTCTGCCCAGTGCAGCAGTCTGGGAGCTGACCTTGTCTGTGAAGACCGAGGCAAAAAAAGCATTGAGTACTTTAGCTTTTTCCACATCCTCTGTCACTAGGTTGCCTCCCCCATTCAGTAAGGGGCCCACACTTTCCCTGACCACCTTCTTGTTGCTAACATACCTGTAGCAACCCTTCTTGTTACCCTTCAAACCCTTGCTAACTGCAACTCCAGCTGTGCTTTGGCCTTCCTGATTACTCCCCTACATGCTGGAGCAATATTTTAATACTCCTCCCTAGTCATCTGTCCAAGCTTCCACTTCTTTGCAGTCTGAATTTGTCTAGCTTCAACTTCCAGCCATTGGATTGTGTTAGACCTTCCTCTGCTAGAATGAGAAGCCCAATTATTAAACATTTGTTCCCCATGTAGGTACTTTTAGACTGCAATTAAGTCATCTTCTCTTTGACAAGCTAAAAAGATTGAGCTCCTTGAGTCTATCACTCTCAGGCAGGTTTTCTAATCCTTTAATAATTTTCATGGCTCTTCTCTGCACCCTCTCCAATTTATCAACATCCTTCTTGAATTGTGGGCTTCAGAACTGGACACAGGATCCCAGCAGCGGTTGCACCAGTGCCAAATACAGAGGTGAAATAACCTCTCTGCTCCTACTTGAGATTCCCCTGTTTATCCATCCAAGGAGCTCATTAGCCCTTTCGGCCACATCATCACACTGGGAGCTCATGTTCCACTGATTATCCACCGTGACCCCCCAATCTTTTTCCGAGTCCCTGGTTCCCAGGACAGAGTCCCCCAGCCTGTAAGTATGGCCTACGTTCTTCGTTCCCAGATGTGCACATTTACATTTAGCTGTATTAAAACACATATTGTTTGTTTGCGTCCAGCTTACCAAGTGATTCAGGTCGCTCTATATCAGTGACCTGTCTTTTTTGTGATTTACTACTCCCCCAGTTTGTGTGTCATCTGCAAACTTTATCAGGGATGATTTTATGTTTTCTTCCAGGTCATTCAAAACATGTTAAATAGCGTAGGGCCAAGAACTGATCCCTGCAGGGCCCCACTAGAAATACACCCGGTCAATGATGATTCCCCATTTACAATTACATTTTGAGACCTATCACTTAGTCGGTTTTTAATCCATTTACTGAGTGCCATGTTAATTTTATATTGTTCTAGTTTTTTAATCAAAATGTTATGCAGTACCAAGTCAATGATTTACAAAAGTCTAAGTATATTATATCAACACTATTACCTTTAGCAACCAAATTTATAATCGCATCAGAAAGGGATATCAAGTTAGTTTGACAGTATCTATTTTCCATAAACCCATGTTGATTGGCATGAAGTATATTACCCTCCATTAATTCTTTATTAATCGAGTCCCATATCAACAGCTCCATTATCTTGCCCGGGATTGGTGCCAGACTGACAGGCCTACAATTACCTGGGTCATACTCTTTTTAAATATTGGCACAACTTTAGCTTTCTTCCATGGAACATGCCTGGTATTCCAAGACTTATTGAAAATCAACATGAACAGTCAAGCGAGCTCCTCAGCCAGCTCTTTTAAAACTCTTGGATGCAAATGTGACCCCAAAACCCCTTAATGCCAACAGGCAAGGGGGTTACAGGAATGTCCTGATTCTGTTATATACATTCTGGTTTGCCACAGAATGTCTTGTGAGGTCGCAAATGAAAGCCAGTGTCATATTGGTCATTAATATCACTGTGAAATGTATGTACATAAGGAGTTATGTACATAGATTGAAGATATGTTCTTAGAGTCTGAATCAAGGTCTGAGTCACCGGCAGAGGTGAAAAAAGCAGGTTTTCTGTCAGACAAGAGATGTTTATTCCTCTGTCTCTCTGCCAGGATGGAAACGAAGCATTGTATGCTAACACACTGTACTCTAGCCTACTTAAATATGCAGTCAACAGGGAAGCAGTGCATGGAAAAATAAACCAGGGGTGGTTATTGTGTCTCTGAGCACAGGCAATGAACTTTGGAGATTATAAGTAGAAGGCAAAGACGACACCCCTTTACCCTTCACCTGTAAACGGATAGTGCGTCTGTATTCGTGAAAATGGGATCTCAGCCAACCTTGACTGAAAAGCTGCAAAGCACTTTGGGGTGAGATGAACTTCTTTGGACAGGTGGTTAACTTGTTAGTTAAGTTTAGTCTCTAGAAGGCATGTTCTGATTTAGTTTTATATGTAACCATTTGTTTCCAATATTCGTACTATCACTTGAACCTTGAATATTTGATAATAAACTTATTCTTGTTTTCACTATTAATATATCTCAGTGCTGTGATGTTAAGCAAGGTGCTGAGTGTCAGCTGAATCAGACAGGCTGGTGTGTACATTGGTCCTTCCCTGGTATTTCTGTGAGTGTTCAGGGGATGGGGCTATAGGCTCGGCCGGGGAATGCTTCAAAGGGCGTTGGGATCTGGGATTATTAACCTGTAAGGCCAAGTAAGGTCTAGTATAGCCCAGAGGAGAATGCTAACAGGCTGGTGGCATCGGGAGATGACACCCAGTGAAGCACAAGCAAGACTCCTTCTCACTGAAGACAGGGGGGCCACCAGGTGACTCACAGTCCGGGGTACCCTGAGAACGGTCACAGAAAGTTATCTGGATTTGCTGATTTAAAAATGTCTAACTTTAGTAGTTGCTGTTTAACACCCTCATGAGATACTAGTGGAATGGAAAGAGTGTTCTCACATGATGACACTACATCTGTTTTTTCCCAAATAGAGAACAGAAATAGTTATTGAACACTTCTGCCTTTTCTGCATTATTATTGATGGTTGTACCATTTCCATCTAGTAAGGGACCAATACAATTGTCAGGATACTTTTTTGTTCCTAAAATACTTAAAAAGCTCCTTCTTATTGTCCTTAACTCTGCTGGTCATAGACGTCTCCTTCTGTCCCTTTGCTTCCCTTATCAATTTTCTACAATTTATAGCTTCTGATTTATATTAACTTGTTATCAACTTCTCCTTTCTTCCATTTATTTATTTTATTTTGTATAACTGCCTTAATTTCCCCTCTAAACCAGGTCATTTTTTTAAAACCAGTATGGCCTTCTTCAATTTTGGGATTGTGCCTTTTTGGGCATCTAGTAATGTGTTCTTAAACCATTCCCACTTACCATCCACATTTTTTGGATTAAATACTTGAAGATGATTGTTTTCAGTTTTGTGAATTTGGCCATTTTACAATACCAAGTATATATATCACTGGTCTGGACTTCATTCTGTTTGTACATTATAAAGGTGATCAAGTCATGATCATAAGTTACCATTAATATTTAGTTCTGTGATCAGTTCTTCTTTATCTGTCAAGACCAGGTCTAATACAGAATTCTCTGTCTTGGATGCAGCACTTTTTGAGTTAGGAAATTGTCATCTCTAATATTTAGAAATTCCAAGGATGTTCTAGTTCTGGCAGCATGAGACTTTCAGCATGTGCCATTCAGATTGAAGTCCCCCATGATGATATAGTTTTCCCCTACACATTGTAGATAGGTGCGTAAGGAAGCAGTTATCCTGTTCATTTGTGGGATTTGGTGGTTGGTTGCAGACACCAACTAATACCTCATCTTGTGCTTTAGCCATTAGAACATTGATCCATAAGCATTCAAGAATGTTCTCTTCCAAATAATCAGCAACTCAGAAGCAGATAATGCCATTTCTGACATACATTTTTTGCCCACTTGCTCCTTCCTAAATAGGTTATAACCATTGATTTTAACATTCTAGTCATGGGAATCAGCCCACCAGATTTCAGTAATAAAGAGGACGGTGACCAATTGTTCGCCATGTTCACTTGAAGGCAGGACAAGAAGTAATGGGCTCAATCTACAAGGGAGAGCCTCTTTTGCACTATCACACTGTTGACTCATATTCAATGTGTGAGCCACTATAACCCCCAGATCCTTTTCACCTAGCCAGTACTACCACCTAACCAGTTATTCCCCGTTTGTATTTGTGCATTTGAGTTTTCCTTCTACACACAGTATTTTGCCCTGATCTCTACTGAATTTCATCATGTTGATTTCAGACCAGCTCTCCAATTTGTCAAGGTCATTTTGAATTCTAGTCCTGTCCTCCAAAGTGCTTGTGACCCCTCCCCTCAACTTGTGCAAACACCTCCCCCCCCAATAAAACACACACCCCTTTTACCTTGGGATCCAATAGGAGCTCAAAGGCAGCTAAGAGCTCGCCCGCTTCCTTCTGTTGCTTTGTGATTGGATACAACTGAAGGCGGGGGACGTGTCGGGATCCGAGATCCAGACATACCAGTGGGGAACACATGCTCCTCCCCAGGAAGTCATCCTTGTCCTAATATAAAGAGGAGACGTGATCAGATCATGTGAGTCATGGGCCTGCAGATCCCCTTCACCTGCTTCTCCTTTACCCCCTTCCCTGGGATCTTGCACTTACAATGATATCCCGGTCAAACAACTCCAAAACCACCAGTGGCGGGTCCTGCCGGGTGGCCTGGGGGTCTCCGTAAATCAGCACATGGTCGAAGATGAGGGTCTGGTCCCAGCTGGGGCTCAAGGTGGCAGTCAAGGTCTGTGTGCGCTGGCTCCTGTGCAGGAAGGACACGTGGGCATAGGGATCTGGGGGAAGGAGACGGGAGAGACGAGCTGTTCAGTCATAGAGTCATAGAATCTCAGGGTTGGAAGAGACCTCAGGAGGTCATCTAGTCCAACCTCCTGCTCAAAGCAGGACCAATCCCCAACTAAATCATCCCAGCTAGGGCTTTGTCAAGCCGGGCCTTAAAAACCTCTAAGGATGGAGATTCCACCACCTCCCTAGGTAACCCATTCCAGTGCTTCACCACCTAGTGAAATAGTCTTTCCTAATATCCAACCAAGACCTCCCTCACTGCAACTTGAGACCATTACTCCTTGTTCTGTCATCTGACACCACTGAGAAAAGTCTAGGGCTAGGTCTACACTACCCGCCTGAATCGGCGGGTAGAAATCGATCTCTCGGGGATCGAATTATCGCGTCTTGTCGGGACGTGACAATTGATCCCCGAATCGACACTCTTACTCCACCAGCAGAGGTGGGAGTAAGCGCCGTCGACAGGGAGCCGCAGAGGTTGATTTTGCCGCCGTCCTCACACCGGGGTAAGTCGGTTCCGATAGGTCGAATTCAGCTACGCTATTCGCGTAGCTGAATTTGCGTATCGTAAAGGACCCCCCACGTAGTGAAGACCTGCCCTAGATCCATCCTCTTTGGAACCCCCTTTCAAGTAGTTGAAAGCAGCTACCAAATCCCCCCTCATTCTTCTCTTCTGCAGACTAAACAATCCCAGTTCCCTCAGCCTCTCCTCATAAGTCATGTGCTCCAGGCCCCTAATAATTTTTGTTGCCCTCCGCTGGACTCTTTCCAATTTTTTCACATCCTTCTTGTAGTGTGGGGCCCAAAACTGGACACAGTACTCCAGATGAGGCCTCACCAATGCTGAATAGAGGGGAATGATCACGTCCCTCGATCTGCTGGAAATGCCCCTACTTATACAGCCCAAAATGCTGTTAGCCTTCTTGGCAACAAGGGCACACTGTCGACTCATATCCAGCTTCTTGTCCACTGTAACCCCTAGGTCCTTTTCTGCAGAACCGCTGCCTAGCCATTCGGTCCTTAGTCTGTAGCAGTGCATGGGATTCTTCTGTCCTAAGTGCAGGACTCTGCACTTGTCCTTGTTGAACCTCATCAGGTTTCTTTTGGCCCAATCCTCTAATTTGTCTAGGTCCCTCTGTATCCTATCCCTACCCTTCGGCGTATCTACCACTCCTCCCAGTTCAGTGTCATCTGCAAACTTGCTGAGGGTGCAGTCCATGCCATCCTCCAGATCATTAATGAAGATATTGAACAAAACCGGCCCCAGGACTGACCCTTGGGGCACTCCGCTTGATACCAGCTGCCAACTAGACATGGAGCCATTGATCACTACCCGTTGAGCCCGACGATCTAGCCAGCTTTCTATCCAACTTATAGTCCATTCATCCAGCCCATACTTCTTTAACTTGCTGGAAAGAATACTGTGGGAGACCGTATCAAAAGCTTTGCTAAAGTCAAGGAATAACATGTCCACTCCAGTCCTGTAGGAATCCATCAGAGCGGGCAGCATCTCAGTATTTCCGTCTGGACATAGCGGCGTGGGAGAGATGTAGAACTGGCCTATCTGAGGGGCACCGTGCAGCCCGTTGGACAGTGTATGCCCAGCAGCAGGGAACCCATAGGGCCACTGTTTGTACAGCGTAGGCCATTCAGAGCTCCCATGCCCAACAGAGGGGACCTGTCTGGCCTTGGAGGGTTATACCAGGGGTTATTTGTGTTAGGCTCCCAGGCGTTATGATCTGGGGGTGCCAGGAGATGGGTGGGGTAGAGCAGGGAAGGTCTGAGGCGGCATGTGTTGAGGGCGGTGGGGTTTGCCTCATGTCACCTACCGGAGGAGCTCCTGCCATCGCTCGGTGTCAGATCCCTGGCTTGGTAGATGTAGCAGTGCAGCTGGTAGTAATTGGGCTCTGGAATATGAAGAGTTCACAGGTCTCACCCACACTCCTCCTCACCTGTTACGCAGAGGTGCCCGGCGGTGTCCCCCCGTTCCTGCCACCATCCAGGGCCCAGCTGCAGAGGCTTCAATCCCTCACTCTGTCCATGGAGAGGGGCCCAGGAGGAGCCAATGGTCGCAGGGGCCCTGAAACCAGCGGATGGAGGGACAGATGTGGGGGGCTCTGGGGCCAGGTGTGATCCCCTCCATGCCAGTGACTCACGCTGGAAGACACAGGTGATCAGAGGAGTGTTCAGCTGCAGGATGTTCTGGGCTGGGGACCTCTTCTCTCTCTCTCCACCTTCCAGGATCTTTTTCTCTCTCTCCTTCTGTTTCTCTTTCTCCTCCTCCTCTCCTTCCTCCTTCTCTTGATCTTCAAACTCCACACCCTGAGCAGAGAGCAGCCCTCAGCCCCTGGGCACCCTCAGCTGCAGGATCTCCTGGTGGAGCTCTCACTGCCAGGATGCCCTCAGCACCCCCTTCCGGCTCCAGATCCTGCTTCCTGTTTCCAACTCCACTGGAGTCTATAGCCCCCGCCCCGGCTATACATCCTCACTAACACAACCACCACTTCCTCCCCCTCTGCTGTAACCACCCCCATCATTGCTCTCTATGGCTGCGTCTCCCTGGGGCTCAGAAGCAGCCTGCCTTGGGGCTGTGAGCTACCTTGGGGCAAGCTGACCCTTCTGTGTCAATCAGCCCTCTCTGGCCTATGGGGACCCTGCTTTGGGCCAGGGGTTTGTGCTAGTGGCTGGGCAGGTGCTTTCTGGGAGAGGAAAGAAGAGAGGCTCCAACTGGAGACAATGGGCCAGGGGCTGCATGCACAGCTCCTACTGGATCAGCCGCGGCCAGGGGGTTTCCGGCTGAGATCTGCCTGCCTTGGGGAAGCCTCCTGTTGGCTCACTCTGCAAGGCTGCTGCCTACGAGCCTCCCAGTTCCCGTCATGCCGAGTGCATGGGTCTGCGTGGGTCTGGCCAGGCGATGGGGGGAGGGGTCTAGCGTTTGGCCAGCCAGGGACAGGATCTTGCTTAGAACAGCGGCCAAATGAACAGCCAAAGGCGATGCCCCTTTGCTGCCTGGCCTCTTACCAGGGAGCCCTCCAAGAGGAAAATGGGAGCCACCCTGGTGGGCTGCACGGGCACGAGCTTCCTGCGCCAGCAGCGCCGCCGGTAAGCGTCATGCGGCCGGGGCTGCAGGTGGAACTTCCAGCCAAAAAAGGAGGCATATTCCCAGGTGTCCTCTTCCGCTGGCTTCCCTGTAGAGTGCTGCAAAAGTGGGACAGGCATGAGAAAGGGGGAAGAGCTGCACCGCAAGGATCCAGCTCAGATTCAATCCTGACCCTCCCTAAGATTCCCCCGAAGCAATTCCCCTCCCCGGCCACCAGCTTTCACCCCGAGACACTTTGGAGCTTCCCAGCTCCGTTCTGCAGACTCCAGAGGCTCAGGTACAATCCATGAACCTGGTGGGGCGTCTCCAAACAGCTCAGTTGACTTCGGTGGAACCCCAGTGATTTGCAGAGGAGTCAGGCTGCCTTACACCAGCTGAGGGTTTGTCCTCGCAGTGCGGTATGTGTCTGACGCTCTCTCACCCCTAGGGTGCTGGGAGCAGCCCCTTCCGAGCCAGCCCCACAGGCACCATGAGCACAGCCCCTGACCTCGGCCACTCCCACCACTTACCAGCTGGAGAAAGGAGGCGATTTCCTGCTCCTGGGTCTGAGCGTTCAGGTCCCGACAGCGTCTCCGCAGCCAGCGCCGACGCCGGTGCGTGTGGTATGTCTTCTCTGTTGCATTCCAGGACTGGGGTGTTCCGGTGGGGGGGATACCAATGCCGTACTCCCAGCCTGAGAGAGGAGCCGTGCTGCCATCAGGACCTGGGAGGAGGCCCCAGGCAGGCGTGCTCACATCCTGGCGATCAGATTCTCCCTCATGAAACCAGGCAACCTCCTGCCTGGCCTCTCCTGCTGCCTGGGCTCACTCCCCACCCGCCTGGGCTGGACAAGGTGCTGATCCTGTAACTGAGGCTGGCAGGGAGAAGCTGCACCCAGTACAGGTGTTCATGCACCAGCCCTCCCTGTCCGACAGCAGGGACAGCCTGGGAAACTCCCCTCACGCCCCCCATGTGCCCACCAGCCCAGGTCTGGAGCTGCCTCCTCCAAGGGCGATGGGGGAGCGCAGTGTCCATGGCCTATCTGCTGAGGCTGCCAGCAAGATGGGCAGCTTGTGCCGGGGGGTGTGATCCTTGAGGCCCACTTGTCTGCTGGAAACCCGCTAAACTCATTACTCTGGGCTGCTGAATGGCCCTCGCAGAGATTGCCCCACAGACCCTTCAGGACGTGCCCAGGGCAACACAGTCAGCACTGAGCCCCACAAGTCAGGGTGGGCAGCAGCTTGGTCCTGGCTCTCTGATCGCTCCACCTCACAGCCTCAGCAGCCACACCGATTCCCCTGGAAACCACTTACCAGACTCATCCACAGCTCGGTTCACCTCCACCCTCCAGCCTTCCTCAAAGTGCCAGCCCTTAGGGCACACGATCCCTTCCTTTGGGGAGACGGCGGCTCCGCCCTGGAACCGAGACAACGGGGGAAATGTGGAGCTGAGCATGTTTGCTGGAGGTGCCCCGGAACTTTTAGAAGGGTCCAGCAGCCACGGTTGGGGCCAGCCTCTCTGGAGAGCCCAGCCCATTGCGGGCCGAGCCCTCTGACGCATCCAGCCCTGAGTGTCACAGTGGGAGCTGCTGGGGGCTGAGCCCCTTTGCAAATCATGTCCTCAGAGACCAGGGCCCAGGGAAAGTGTCAGCACCACGGAGACCAAAGCCTCTGGACATCCCCGGGAAGAGGGGGACGCAAACCAGGGCGGGCAGGAAAGCCAGGCTCAGGCTGCAGCTGGTATATATTCCAGACAAGGGCTGGAGAAGTTCTGGTTTAGTGGCACAGATGAATGAAAAACAACCTCCAAGATGACACCTCCCACCAGCCAGTGCTGCCCGCACCCCTCACCGCATCGGTGTTGGGAGAAGGGGCTGGGGCCCACTCTTCCCCTGGCTGCCGACTCTCGTTCTCATACACCTCCTCCAGCACCTCACTGTGGTTGGTCTCAGTATCCAGCAGCAGCCTGCATGGGAGGCCAGGGCAAAGTCAGGAACGCAGGAGTCTCATCTCATGGCTTTTCCAAAGGGTTGGCTGGAAAAGCGCTGCGTGAATCCTGTCATCTCCTGTTCTCTCCCATCAAACTTCAGGGAGCTGAGTGCCTAGAGGTCCCTCTAGTTCAGTACCCGGCACCTCCCTCTGGAACCCTCCTCCAGTGAGGAAGGATGTTCCTCCTGACCCCAGCTGGAAATCCTCTCACACCTTGAGGCCTGATACAAGCTCTGAGATCCCTGGGGCAATAGTCCTTGCTAGTGTGACTGAGACACGATCCTGACTGGGACATGTCTAATCTCTCTAATCTCTCCTGGAAACTCATCTATTTACTTCAATAATATCCTGCAGCAGTGAGTTCCACAGTTTAGTTGTGCACTCAGCTCTCCAGACCCTTCACTAGCTCCGCTCTTCCCATCCTACTCAAATACTGATGTGGGGAACTCAGCGGGAGGCACATTTAACCCTTTACCCACCTTCCCTCAACAGGAGCCTGTGCTAGCCAGTGTCACAGGTTAACTATCTGCTGCATATCAGAATGTTTCCCAAAGCCATCTAGTGCTGTTTCCTCCTTTGGTCAGAGAAAGGTGTAACCTCACCTCATAGCACCCCTCACGGTACAGTACTATACACATGGGAGATCTCTCTCAGAGCCCCTGAAACTCCTCCCCCCATAATGGTTTTTGGGCTTCTTCCTGGCCTGGTTCTCATCGGCAGGAGACAGCCCCTGTCTCAGCAGGACAGCATGTCCCACGACTCACCTCCTCTGTGGCTCCACCGCCCAGTCGCCATCCCAGTGCCAGCCCTTGGGCAGCTGGAACTTGTCCCTCGGGACACCAATCTTCCCGGTTATGTCTGAGAAGCTGGGGTGCTGCATCAGCCCTTTGGGCCCCCACTTCCCAAAGATCTTCACCTGGTTCTCGTACTGAGCAAGGCACAGGGGAGCGACAGACACAGACGGAAGCGGGTCAGAGCAGGTGCAATTCCGCGGACACAGGGCAAGCTCCGGGGGTGGGGTGAGCGCTGGGCAGCTCCACCCAGTGCGGGGTGGCAGAGGGGCTGAGAGGAGCTGCTGTGGGAGGGGCGTGCGAGGTGCATGAGCTCTGACGGGCTGGGCTTTGGGGTCACAATCGATTGGCCTGCTGGGGGTGTGCCCAGTGTACGCAGCATTCCCTGTCTGCGCCAGCATCGTCCTCGTCCAGCAAACCTCCCTCCCCACGTGGAAGCCCCGGCAGATTATCCCTGCCCCAGTAACCAGGGGCCTCTCGCCCCAAAGCTGCCCTCCTCCTGCTCACCGTCTCGGCATAGACCCCGATCTTCCCCTCGCAGTGCCTCATGAACTCCTGGCTGTCGGACACCAGACTCAGCCACATTCGCATGCGCAGCTGGCCATGGATGGTGTCCTTCCCATCTCGCTGAGGGCGCTGCAGGAGAAAGGCAAAGGGGCCGTGCTGCACCCACTCCAAAAGCAGCCACCATGAGTGGGCAGAGCCCGCTCCGCCCCTGCTTGGCTCTCCGGCTCCCCACAGCCCGAGGCGAGCGAGAGATCCTGGCACATCTCCTACCTTCAGGAAGAGGGTGTGGGTTTTCCCGCACAGCTTGCCGCAGGCGCAGGGACCGGCCTTGGAGAACATGATGGTGTGAGCCTTCACACGGGCATAGGCCACCCGCTTCTCCTTGCACAGCATCCAGATCATCACGTCGGGCATGCTGGCTTGGGGCTGCGGTGGCCGCACATCAGGAGAGAGAAGAGATTTCACAGATGCTATTGCAGGAGCAAGCACAGGGCGAGATACCTCCTGGGCTGCTCTCCTTCCCATGGCAGGGGCTGTGCCAACTCAGCCCCTTAGGCTCCCCCCTCATGCCAGCCTGGCCTCCTTGCTAGGCCTGTCGGCAGGCGCAGCCCCCAGGGTGACCAAAGAGCCCCTTCCGAGCTAGGCAGCACTGACTCAGCATCACTCCTAGCTCCCAGTGACCCAGGTAATGAACAGCGAGGTCAGACACTGGAGAGTGAGGGCCCCCTGGCTGAGCATGTCTCCATTCTCCTCCAGGACTGGTCTGAAAGGTGCTCAGCCCGGACACTAGAGGAGATGACGCTAGCAGCAGGGCTGGCTCCAGGCACCAGCAAAGGAAGCAGGTGCTTGGGGCGGCCAATTGGAAAGGGGCGGCACGTCTGGGTCTTCGGTGGCACTTCCTAGTCCCTCTCTTCCTCTTTGAGCTGCCGCCGAAGTGCTGCCGAAGAGGAAGAGATGGAGCGAGTGAAGGACCCACCGCCGAATTGCCGCAGAAGAATGAAGCAGCGCGATTGAGCTGCCGCCGAAGTGCCGCCGATCGGCTTTATCTTTTTTTTTTGCTTCGCCGCTTAGGGCGGCAAAAAAGCTAGAGCCAGCCCTGACTCGAGGAGATGCTGGCGGGCAAGGCAGCTTGGGGATGGTGTCTAGGGAAGGGGTGCAAGGCCTTGGCCTACCTCCGGAGTGACGGAGTTGATCCTCTGCAGCCAGTCCTCTACCTTGAGGATCAGGGTCTTTGAGTTCGTCCCAGCGCTCAGCCTTTCTGCAGACCTGGCTACTTGGTGGAGGAGCCGACCACGCAGGTCCCTCAGCTGCTGATCCAGGCCTGTGGCTGTCACCCGACCTTCCAAACTGGGCAGCGGCCTGCTGCAAGGAGCATCAACAGGGAGAGGTCAGAGCTCCCTCGCTGCCACCAGCTACCCAGGGCAGAGAGAAGGGGGGGTCTGAGAACTGACCTGCCCCTTGGCTCACGGGTGGAGAGATGAAAAATGTGGAACTGACCCATGGCATCATGTAGGTCAGAACTGGAAAAGACATGGCCAGTCCCTCTCCTGGCCAAGCTGGATTGCTCCCTGCAGCACTTTTGCCAGTGCTTTGTCCAGTCCAGTTTTACATGTCCCAAGCAATGGAGATCCCACCCCGGTCCCACATCCTCATAGATCTCACTGGCAAGAAGCTTTCCCTGAGAGTCAGCCTTCAGTTTCCATTTCTCAAGTCCATCCCATCACTCCTAATTACCCTGCGTTTCCCACCCTAAACAATCCCTCTTTCTCCTTGGGGTTTCGCACCACTCAGACTTTTGCAGACTATGATCACGTTCCCCACGCCCCAGACACTGCTTAGCTAAGATGTAACCCTGTTAGCTCGCCAGCCCCCTGTTTCTCCTAACTCCTCCCAGCTGGAAAATCCCCTTCTGGAGATGAAGCCATGTCATGAGGGCACAGCCTGCTCTGTAACCTCCATGCTAGGCTAGGAAGCCAATAGCTGGTGAGGACATGGACAGACACTGGAGATCCAGCCTGGGAGAAAGGCAGTGAGAAAGCTGGCACCGTAGTCTGGCAATCAAAAGTCCAGAGTAGCCAACCTCTGGAGACAGGGGGACCCATGCAGTATTCTACGATATAGCCTTTTTGTACAGTCCGGCAGCCCCTTTGGTAAGAAATGATACTTTGCCCTTCTATAGCATCTTTCCCGTGATGATCTCAAGGCCAGGTGCTCACAGATTGTGATCTCAGTCACACTGGTGAAAATCTGGAGTGACTTCACTGAGGTCAACGTTGCTACTTGGGTAACTGAGATCTGAGTCTGGTCCTTTAGGGTTAATTACATGAGGTATAATTCCCATTCGACACAGTGAGAATCTAAATCACAGCGAGATGAAGGCCCAGGTTTTCAAGTATCAGGGGGTCACCGTGTTAGTCTGTATCCACAAAAACAACATGGAGTCCAGTGGCACCTTAAAGAATCTTTCAGGTGCCACCAGACTCCTTCAGGTTTTCAAAGGTGCTCAGCACAGTGGGGGCATGTAGGGTGCTGCACACTTGGAGATCTGGCTCTGAGGTCTGATTTAAGGCTGGCCCCTGCTGGGGGCAAGGTCACCCAGAGCCAGTGGCAGAGTGGGGAATGGAACCCAGGAGTCCTGCTTTACAGTCCTGTGACCATCAGTAAAGCCCTGTGAGTTCCTGCAGAGCTGCAGGACTGCAAAGCAATTTATTGCTTTATTATTCATCCCCAGAGAGGAAAGCTGTGCAGGTCACACTCCTGAGCTGCCCACAGGGTATGTCTACACTGTGATTAAATGCCGGCGACTGGCCTTTGCCAGCTGACTTGGGCTCGCGGGCTCAGGCTTGCGGGGCTGTTTAACTGCAGTATAGAGGGTCGGCTCAGGCTGCAGCCTAAGCTCTGGGACCCGTCCCATCTCGCAGGGTCCTAGAGTCTGGGCTCCAGCCCGATCCTGAATGTCTACACTGCAACTGAACAGCCCCTCAGCCTGAGCCCTGCGAGCCCGAGTCAGCCGTGGGGGTCTCATTACAGTGTAGACGTACCCAGGGAGACCAATGCTTAGCGTCCTGGCTCACTTGCAGTCCTCCAGCAGCTCTTTCAGCAGCTTCTTCCAGACGTCACCCAAAGATGGATCCTCGGCGGTTCGGACGGATCTCAGAGCATCCAGATTCAAGGTCTGATGGAGAAGGAAATCAAGTCAGACTTTATCTGCGGCTCATCCTCCAACCGGTGGGCCAGGGCACAGAGCTACAGTGCAACTGACTCAGCTTCCAGTCAAGTCAACAGGGGGTCTTTCCATTCCCTTTAAGGGTCGGGGCCCACATTCCTCCCTCAGGACAGAGCCAGTATTTGGTGCATCTCAAGCTGTGAAGGGGAGGCACTTCAAGATGAGCCACAGGAAAAGCCTGTGTCCGAGGGGTTTGGGTGTGCCTGCGCAGGAGCTACAATCAAGTTATAATAGTCATTAGAGGTAGAAAAGGCCCGTTAGTGCCCATCCAGACCGTCTGCTGCCAATGCCGGATTGTTCTCTACCGTGCACATGCCAGGGTTTGGTCTAGTCTAGTTTTTAGTGTCTTCCATCCATAGGTGCTGGAACTTGGGGGGCGAGGGGGCGCTGCGCACCCCTGGCTTGAAGTGGTTTCCATCACAGACAGTTTGGTTCACTGGCTCCCAGCTCCCTGCTTCCATCCCTTTCCTTGGGAGACAGACAATTCTACAGTCTAATACATCCTGCTGTTTAACTCCACCTCTCACTCCTCACTGCCCCTCCTTGTGCCCCAACCAGCCCTTCTCCTTCCTGGCATTTTACCCTTACCACACTTGCAGACTATTATATTCCTGCCCGTAGTCACCACTTAGCCAAGCGAGGGCCAGGTAATCAGTTGAGTCGTCCCCTGCAGGCTCACCCCTCCAGCCCCTTCACCGTTTTAGTTGCTCCTCTCTGAGCTCTCTCCAGTCTGCCAATACCTCTCTGGCGTTGAGCTGCCCACAGCATTCCAGATGTGCTCACATCGGAGCTGTCCCCTGCGGGCTCTGTGAAGGGTACCCCTCTGCGTGCACAGCCCCTGTCTGCTGCTGTCCCTCAGACCAGATTCATGCCTAGCTTTGCAGCCTGTTCTCGGTGATTTGCCCGGCTCCCTGCACAGCCAGGACCTGCACTCACCAGCCTGTCCCGTGTGGAGTGCAGGATGTTCAGGGTGTCCATGTAGTAGCTAGCGTCCTCCCAGAAAGAGGTGATGGCCACCATTGGCTTGGTGTCGTACCATGGCAGATAGTGATAATGGTTTCCTGGAGAGCAGGAAGGAAGCGGGGTGAACCACTTGGCTCAGGGGAGCTCAGGCATGTTCCTTAGGGAGATGACGAGTGGGGCAGGCTGGGTGGGTTAATATCAGCAGTGTGCACTCTATGGAGCTTCTCTCCCCTGCTGCTGGCCCTGGGTTTGTAGGGCCTGAGGCAGATCACTCGGTGAGGGCCCCATGACAGCTTGAGGAGTAAGGCTGTGTCCAGTTCAGAATTCCACCTGGTTTTATGAACACTCTTCGTAACTGTGACCATCACTGGGTATTAGATCGCAGGAACTGGACAGGGAGAGAGGGCTTGTCTGCACATAGCCCCTGCACTGTCAATTCACAGCCTGCCTTAAGGACAGACAAGCCCCGAGGAAGCTCTGTTGGGAAAGGCATGATAAGGTCATCAAGAGCTATCACCACAGAATGGCTCTCACCTAGTGACTCTCTACACAGAAACCTGTCTGGGGCAGGGGGCAGGAATCCCGCAGTCTGGGATGGCGGAGCGCGGCAGCATCTCCACTTCATTCCCTGCCCCAGAGGGGCTGCGAATGCTTGAAAAAGGAGTGCTTCTCCAAGCCAAAAGAGCAATTGGGGAGTGTGGGTGGGGGGTGGGGCTGGGGCACTGGTGTCAGGGTCTGGCTGGACTGTGGGTTCCCACTGCCAAGGGGGATGTCAGACACAGGGTCTGCACCTGGGACTATGCCCGAGGGACCCACAGCAGGGACACTGACAAGTCACCACTCAGACCCAGGGTGATTAGCAACACGTGGGATGCAATGGTTGGATCTCCTCACAACGGACTGGTGTGTGTCCGGAGTCAGGGACCGGCCCCTGCCCAGACAGAAGGGGCTCATGGTGATATGTCCCCCAGGAAGAAAACAGGTCAAACATTTTCCAATAAATGTTTTTCTATTGGAAACTGCCACTTTGTCATAGAGTCATAGAATATCAGGGTTGGAAGGGACCTCAGGAGGTATCTAGTCCAACCCCCTGCTCAAAGCAGGACTG